TACTTTCAGATCAACCTTAGTAAGATAGTAATGAAGATGGTGTTACACGATATTCTGCAATAGCTTGAGGTGCTCCCTTCCCCCCCCTTTGTATATGATAAGTTTTTAATTTATAGGAAAACAGTGCAAAGGATTGGCACTTGGAGTTACTTTGTAGCTTTGGTGTTCTCCACTTTAGTCCCTCACTGCAGTATTGAACTTTAGCTCCTGGATCTCCATCTAATAAATTGATGTATGTCTAGAATTAGCTTTAGACAGGCTCCCTGGATGATTTGTTAAACATCACAATGTGATGATCATAATTGGCCATCACTTGGCTAACATTTGCATTGAATTAGGCATTAGTATATAAACAAGTATCTCTATCTGTAGACTACTAAAACTTTTAATTGGTCAAAATGGTGCCTCATAGGGCAAAACCTTTTCAATCAAGGTACCTCAGATGAGCTGACTTAAAGAATGCTGGGACCTATTATTCCTGCGGGAATGAAATTTTGGAAAGTTCTTGCCATTGGATACCACTGTGTTGCTTTTTTTCCAGAACTGCTGTTGTGGTCACGTGATCCTCATTTCCAACATTCTCTGACATCTTCCAACAAGTCAATAGGGAAGCCTGGGAAGCTTGTAGGGAGAAAGTCGATGGGGGGGGCATATAACCACAGCAGCAGTTCTGAACAGGCTGATCCTGTTGGTAGCCACTCCATATTAAACCAGCGCTGGGTTCTCTTCATCAAATATGATATCTAAATCTGAGAAATAAGCCACTCTAATTATTTATTGTGCTAAATATTTATGGAGTTTTCCATTTATCCAGCTGGGAGGATGATTTCTCCATGTGGCTTGATCTTTCCAAACTGTTTCCTTGAAACAAGTTGTAGAATGTTACATGATGTTCTGGGGAATATTCTTGGTATGAAACCAAGAATTATGATGATCCATAGAAGTCTCCCAATATATTTAACCGGGTCATCTGAAGGCTTAATGGCTGCTAACAGCATATTAAGCTTGGATTGCTTCCCTCTGTTAATTTTTGTTTTGTGGCTGGATGTGTTATATAAACCTCGCCCATTAAGTTACCTTAGTGCAATAGACAAACTCTGAAAACTGGATTAATTCAGTAATCAAGCTGTGCTTATTATGCAACCAGTCATTAAATGGCAGAGGTAATGGAGGAGGGGAGATTCAAAATGTTTGCCTGAACTTCTCAGCATTGCATATGTTACTTGCTATAACTGGGCCAGGAAAAGCATGCATTTTTAGGCGTTTCCTAAAACTGATCACTTTGTCTAGTGAAAGTTAAGCAATTTGTAGCTGATTAAATTTTCTGGGTCTCTGAACTTTCTATCTCCTATTTTTCTCCAGCTCCTGATTATGATAAAAGTCAATGGATTGGTGAAAAGGAAAAATTGGGGCTGGACTTCCCTAATGTAAGTAACCAGCTATCTATAACAGTTGAGAAGAGCATCTTATCAGTATGCTGTTCTCTATGGCATTCATATGTGAGGACTTGGGTAAAGAGAATAGGTGAAGGACAATTCAGATAGAGAGCAACCATGTGAAAGCCTAACATGGCAGAGGTTTGTTCTTAAGCAGGTCGTTCTGTTTACTTTCCAGCTTCCATACTTAATTGATGGCAAGACCAAATTAACACAGAGTAATGCTATTCTCAGGTACATCGCACGCAAGCACCATCTGTGTAAGTATACCAGAGCTCTTTTGAGGGCCGAGCTGCCCGATGAAGGCCCATTTCTGCTGCCCAGGATTTCTCATCTCTCTATACTATCTGCAGGTGGCGAAACTGAGGAAGAACTTATCAGAGTGGACCTGCTGGAGAATCAGGTGATGGATTTCCGTATGGGCTTGGCGATGATTTCCTACAGCCCTGATTATGTGAGTTGAGTCTCCTTCATTTCCATTTTCTAGTGAACCAGAATAAAGAAGTAATGCCATGCAATGCTGTACAAACTAAAGACTGGATTCAAATATAACACAGAAAACATATTTACTGAGTATGTCTCTCAAGGTTTCTTGTGACAAATGTATAAAAGTGTTGGGTAAGCATCTGCCAATATCTGTGTCATTTTTCTGAGAACCAAGATGGAGGGTTTTTTTTGAAGTGCCTTTGGCTGTATTCAGGCAATTAACGAATTTGGGAAAGTCTACATGTGAAACCTCCAGATATAAACCTCCCAGTCCATGTTACTGGTCTTTGCACACACTTGCATGTTAAACTGATGATTTGTCTGCTATCAGTTATCTGCTGATTTTTGAAATCAATACGTGAATATCTGCATAGGAGAATTGTTGTTTGCATAATGTGCCAGATAATAAACATCTCAACCATTGTCTAAAAGTGAAAATGCAAAGAAATTTCCCTTCGCTTCTCAGTAGAATGGCTGTATAGTTATGAATTATGTTTGCTGCTCATAAAACAATTTATTTTAATCCTTCCTGCTCACATTTCACATATTGCTGCGGTGGTTGGACTGGAATGAATGCATTTTATGTGACCAAAAGTACTGTCAAATAGTTCAGTACTGTTGTAATGCCATCAAAACGTAAGGAATAATTTTGGCTTCCTTTGATGGCTCTTGGATGGAGTGTTCCAAATTTCATAACTGTTGAATAGAAACGTGTTGTCGAATTTGGGCAATGATTTTTCATTCAGTTTTTTTTCTACGTGCTTGTTTTGCAGGAGAAGCTCAAGCCTGGATATTTGGAGCAGTTACCAGGGAAACTGAAACTCTTCTCCCAGTTTTTGGGGGATAGAAAATGGTTTGCTGGGGATAAGGTACATACATACCCAAACCTGGTCATCCTTCGACAGGTCTGATCTTTTTGGAGACTCACTGTTGATTTTTTTTTTCCCCAGATCACATTTGTTGACTTTCTCATGTATGATGTACTCGATCAAAACCGCATATTTGAACCCAAATGCCTTGATCAGTTCAAGAATCTTCAAGGTTTTCTGACCCGTTTTGAGGTTAGCTTTGGCTTCATGAAATTTGCTGGCTTGTGGATTTTGTTCACTGGGTTTTGGCAAGAACTGACAGATTAACCCACAGCATTTATCTATTGGCTAGATTGGATGCCCAAATTGGCATGGGCAGAAATATGTGAAAAACACCATCCTTGTGGTATGAACTACTGTCCCTTTAGTATACAAAACAAACACCTGAAGGCTTGGTGGTAGATTCCCTTCCATACTTTTATTTAATGTACATTTTCCTATGATGAAACGGTAACAGTGCAAGGATTTTAAAGTCTACTGCCAAATGATAAACTCACAATTGGTATACACGTGTGATAAGTAAAAGAGAAACCACAATTGAATGATTTCAGAAGATGGGAAATCTATTAACTACCTATGTAAATGCAGATATTTTTTAGTGGCCCCCAAGCCCCTTCCCAAGTCAATGGATTTAAAATAGCGAGAAACTATAAAAAACAAAACTTAGCACTTAGCACTTAGACTTATGTACCACTTCATGGTGCTTTACAGCCCTCTCTAAGTGGTTTACATTGTTGCCCTCAACAATCTGGGTCCTCATTTTACTGACCTTGGAGGAATGGAAGGCTGAATCAACCTTGAGTTGGTAAGAATTGAACCCTGGCAGTCAACTGTTAATTAGCCTGCAATACTGCATTCTAACCACTGCGCCAGGACTCTTTTAAAACACAGGATTTCTCCAGTTTTGGGTGGAGAGCAAAATATAATTGGTACTAAATCTAGCAGTCATTCCCTAAATCAATGGTGGCGAACTTATGGCACAGGTGCCAGAGGCGGCACTCAGAGTCCTCTCTGTGGGCACGTGCACTGTTGCTCCAGTCCTAGGCCTTCAGCTGGGTTTATAAAACCTTTTCGCTTTAGGCCTCCGCCGCCGTGTGCAAAAAAAGAAAAGGTTCAATCAATGAGTCAATTTCAACTTCTCATGGGAAAAAAAAAGATCTTGCAAAGTTGGAATTGATTGAACTTTTTAATCCCACCCAGCCTGCCGTTACCACTGCAGCCACGCCCACCCAATGGGCCACACCCACCCAATGGGCCACACCCACCCAGCACCCGAAAATGCATAAGTGGGTTTTGGGTTGCAGTTTGGGCACTCGGTCTCTAAAAGGTTTGCCATCACTGCCTTAAGTGATGGTTTCAGATATTTTTGGACTTCATTCCCATCATCTTTCTCAACTAGGCATGGCAGCAGAGGTTGAATGGAAAAGGCATGTGAAGGATACTCCATTAAAGTGGTTTCATCTAGAACAGGGGTTCTCAACCTTGGCAACTTTAAGACTTGTGGACTTCAACTCCCAGAATTCCTCAGCCAGCTTTGCTGGCTGAGGAATTCTGGGAGTTGAAGTCCACAAGTCTTAAAGTTGCCAAGGTTGAGAACCCCTGATCTAGAATATATTTTTAGTATAGAAGAAATGAGAGTGGTTGCCCTGATGGTGGGTTTGTTGGGTGGTTGGTAGGAGTCTGCCTCCTTGAGCCTTTGGCCTATTAACAGCTTCTCTCAATCTCCTAAACATTTCTTTTGTCTGCATCCTCAGGCCCTGGAGAAAATTGCTGCTTACATGAGTTCCAGCCGCTTTATGAAAACTCCCATTAATAATAAGATGGCCAAATGGGGTAACAAGAAAATATGAAGAAAAAAATCCTTGTTGCTGGATGAGATATCTTCCCCTTTTCTCCATTCTCGTTTTGGGTGGAGTTGATAAGAAAAAGAATGGCCTTTCTGTAGAATTGTGATTCAGTTGTTTAGGTATTTGGAAGGCAGTAGTGGTCAATAAAGTATCTTGGAATTATTTGGTAATGTTGTCATGCTCAGTACATTATTGCACACTTTTGACTTGTAGTCTTACACCTCCTATTTTATATCTCTTGTGTTTTCATGTATTCACATGAATGTGTCTTTATTTATGAAGAACTACTTTTCATGTGTGCTCAAACCTGATTGCCTATTGGCCTTTTGCTAAAATGAGAACAGCACAGAAGAAATATAAAAGCCTACTAATTTTATTTTCCATTGCATATAAGAAATAGTTAAATAAGCTCGATTAAACAAAATAACAATAAGTTAGATTAACATTAGCAACATCAGAAAACTATGCATTCTGATTTTGCTTCAAGTATGTTAATGGAAATTGAATCATGAGTCAGCTGTCCAATATTTTTTGCAAACCCAAAATTTACAAGCTATCGAATCCTGGGAGTAATCTCACATGAATACATGTGCACAGTTTGGAATTAATTGAAACATAGTTACTTGCATAGAAGAGAGGTTCATTGATTATTTTTTTTAGCAATCACTTCATTTTTCTGTCCAACTTCTCTCCATCATTTTATAGCATGAATCAGTGAAAATATTTCTGAACTGACAAATGGACAAATTACAAAGTAAACCTAATATACTCATAATATATTCACAACATACTCATAAAATGGTATAGCTGAACCAGTAAATACATAGAATCATTTTCTTCATTTCTAATTCAGAGGTGTGAAAGAGCATCAGAAGGAATGAGCAATCTGAGTCTTCTATTGTCGTAAACTATATTTGTAACTAACGATGAAAGTTGGAAACTAAGTAAATACACTCTTTAAGACATTATCCAAAAAGAATCTGGTTATCTGTAAGTAGCTCTAATATGGTTGGGGTGAGGATGAAAATAATTGTCTGGCTTGTTGGAGCCTTTTCATTACGTGGATAATCTGCCAATCCTTGGGGAAAGATCAATTATTGTTTTCCGAATCTATTAATGTGTGTCTTAACTACAAATTTGGGGATGGAATACCTATTAATATAATATAGTCTTTTACACTTTTAATCTTTTGTCCCCTATTCCAATTATCCTCACTTGGAGAAGGTAGAGTACTTCCAAATCAGATTCATTATTCAGAACATCCTGGCTTCCCCAAAGTTATTGTTAAAGTTCTAAGATCTAAAAGATCCATTTAAGATTCCATCCTTCGTAGCTATTTTCTTGATATAGTCTTTTTTCACACATTACATTACAGCCCTTTACAGATGTTCCTGAGATCATTCAAAAATGGTAAGCATGTTACCTGTTACAGCATTTACAGAAGCATCTTAAAGCCCTCTTAAAGGCTATTCTTAAACACGGCAATTACAAACTAATTGGAAAATCAGTGGACTGAAGGTTACCATGCATCTAATAACATTTTCAATGAGTTGTGCCATTAATCCAGTGAGGATCTCTTCAAAATAAATGATGGAATGGGTTAGGAGATCTGCAAAAGCTAATGCTGAGGACCATTACTGTGAAAAGAAGTACAGAGATTAAACCCTAACTTAGATAAACTAGCCATTTTTTTTAAAAAAAATAATACACTGACTTCATGGAAAATTACAATGGGGTATGATTAATTTCACCTTGGTATTATGTGAATTCAAAATTCACTATTCTGCAATCCATGGTTTATAGCTTAACTCATATCCCTTGAAGAGCTCAGGATTATTATTATTATTATTATTATTATTATTATTATTAAAATTTATTAATTTATTAATGTATGGAAGTAAGTATACAGTACCTTTATCCTCAGCAATGTTGTAGTGGGTGTGCTTAATACTGTAAGGCCATTCAGTAAATTTCAAACAGAAGTGAGCACCCTAAATTCTACCTACCATTAGTTGGCTAGTGTTTTTTTTGCTTTGCACATGAAAGAGCTTTATCAGTATTCCCAAAAAATATATTGTATCGCTTTTCCCCCAAGCTAAATAGTTGGCTTGGAAGAATACTATACTGTATATGCTTCTTTGTGAGAACAGTGAAAGGGTTATCTTTGGAGAAATAGGTTAACATTTTACAGCACATTTTTGTGCTACAATTGTGCTACAATCCTTGACAGGAAATACAACAGCACCCCAGATTACAAAATGCCTAAGGTTGGATTCAAGCCGCCTCACTTCTCTTCTGTTTAACAGTCTTTGTCTTGCAACAGTCTGCTTATAATATAAAGCATTGCGAGCAGAATATTACTCTTTGCTCCCTTGTGCTTATTATGCCATTTTTCCTTCACAATACTATCACATGAATTTATGATATTAAAAGTAAGATGTCGGGAAATTAATGGTAAAAATGATCCAGTATTAACTTATGCACTTGGTATGACTATCTCATGATTTGCATGTAGGAGTGCGAATTACACATCCAGATTGCCTCATAGATGAAGTAAACATACGTGCTAATTTATCACATCTTCCCTAGCTAGATAATCAAGTAACAAGGAATAAGGAGTAACCTATTAGTGTAGAATCCACTGTCTGTATGTGCTGATGCCACACCATCTTTGTAGTCATCTGTGGATGGTTAAATCAAACTTCTTTACCCTGTTTCTGTTTCTGCAACACCATTCCCTGGTGGCCTTTTACAAGGTCCTGAAGATGTGCTTGTGTTCCTGGGCACATATGCTGGATTGTCAAAAACCTTTACTGTATATGGTTATTTTAATTGCTGCTTGTTTAGTTTTTATCATAGGTGCTGGTAAAGTACTTAATTTTTGTTACTTTTTTGAACTGCTGCTAACTACCCAGAATCACTATGGTGAGATGTATGGCTACATAAATTGATACCGATAAAAGAAGCATATTTGTAGCTTAGGGTTGAAATGAGGAGTCTTTGTGTTCTCTGAGCATGTTTTCTTGCAGATGTTTCATTATCCAAATTAGGTAACATTATTCTAGTAATGTTCTAGCAATGATGATGTCGCCTAGTTTGGATAATGAAACTTTGGCAAGAAAACAACCAAGATCAGAGAGCTTCAAGGCCCCCTCATAAATTGAAGAAATGAATGAATGAATTATAAATAAATAAATCCATCTATTTCTCCATCCATCCATCCATCCTACTGTTCTGTGGGGGAATCAGGAACCATGTACTTATATTAAGGCAGACCTCCGGTCTTTTCCATTTTTTCCCATCAAAATGCTCTCAGAAAGATTCCATCCTCATTGGTCTCATCTGCCAAACCCCTGGTGGACTTCAGAGCCCAAGTCCTTTGTCAAAGGGCAGCTCCTGCCTACAATGTCTGATTAAAATCCAGAACAGTCTGACAACTAATGTTCTAGTTCCTTCCTTCAGTGGTGTCATTGAAAAAGAGAAGATTGGATTCCAGTCCAAAGCTACATTGACAATATGACAATATACCTTTCAGCAAATTGGAAAGCCATGAGACTGATTCAGCGGTCAAGATTTAGACATTGTCTTACCTGCGGTGGGGATTTAACTCCTGCAAGCATTGAAAAGACTTTTCTTCCCTCTTCTGGGCAGACCATTTTCAGTTCTTCTTGGCTCAATGACAGTAGACTTCTACCATTTAAGACGCTGAGGGTTTTAACTGTGCTGTTGAAATAACCAAAAGATATATACATAATCAAATTAATCACCCTTGAGGAATGCCGAAGAAGAAAAGGGGGTTGGACCCGATTCTCTATGCTTTGTTTATTGGGCCATGCTACAGTGCATCTTTTCTATTGGTATTGAAAATAGACTATCTGGGTTTCTCAATCATTATTTCCAACCATTCTCTGTAGTTAGCATTGAAAATTGCTGAATGACTGAGAACTGGAACATGGCCCTCCTGGTTCTGACACTTGATCTGTGAGCTTGTGCAATCTGGTATTTCCTGTATAAGTTAGTGTTATCGTACTCTCCTTGCTCTATTTTTGCTTAAAAGCAAATTTACATTTGTAGTTTCTGTAAACTATCAGCACCTAGAATTATATCTCCAGTTTGACATCTCTGGTCATAGTGATAGTATGATTGCTGCGATTAGTAGCTGCAGTACATCTGCAGGAATGTTAAGTGTCAAGGGACTAAACAGAGTTAAAAGTGAAGAAAGAGTTTACTACTCTACACAATTTTTCATCTCATGGACATCAAGCATTAGAATAACCAAATCAGCCATTACCGGAATCAGATTTATTGGACTATTTATTAAAGTAAAACCTACATCTTGGAAAAACCTTTTGTCCTGAGCCAAACTGTGACTTCTGCTGGTGAGGAACTTGGCTGGAGATCAGTGAAACCCGTTGAAACCTGAATACAGAGAAAAAACATGATTCATAGGAAAAAGAGAATATTAATTGCTCAAGCTTCTAAAAGCCTATCTATTTAAAAATGACAATTTTTAAATTACAGTCAATAAATTTCAATAACTGGGCTTGAAGATTTGAGTTTTCCTTCCAGTTCTCAGTGGGTAGTGTGTGTGAAAGTATAATTAATACAAATTTATAGTAATCTCAAATAACTAAGTGCTGCTGCTAGATGCTTCAATTGTGTTATCTATTTCTAGCATAATGACTCAGTTCCATACTTACACATTGGTACAGCAGACTGAGAATGTCTGCTTTCACTAAATACCAATTTAATTTCTAGCTTTAATTCTGTGATGCCTCCCCAAAACCTAAACATTTGGGATGAGACTTCTTGCTATTCATCCTCCATAAATTTGCAGCTAACTTTATGACATAATCAGAATTCAGGATAATTCATAATCTGGATATTAAGAAGAATTCAGTGGGTGGACTTCCAACGAGATATAGCCAATGAGAGCAGTTCTGTCTGAAGAAAACTAAACAGCTGGTTCCAACAAAGTATGCAAAGATGCCCCTTTCTCAGAGAACATATACTTTTTCTGATTTTGTATCACATTGCCAATAGATAGCTGCTCCCTAGATATGTTTTAATGTTATATAGAAGGGGAGGAGCGATTATGTGAAATAACACCTAGCATTAAGCATCTGCTTCTGCAATGCCACATGATGCAACAGAAAATTGTACCTACTTGCTCTGGATTATATTCTTGAGATGCTATCTGATCCTTAGATTCCAGAATATTATTAGGAATATAGCCTTTCTCTCCTATGGCATTTCTGGCAAGCCACCATCTTTTTCTTTGGTCCAAAATCTAAAAAATAGGAGAGTTCAATAGAACAAAATAACAGAATAACAGAGTTGGAAGTGACCTTGGAGGTCTTCTAGTCCAACCCCCTGTTTAGTCAGGAAACCCTATATCATTTCAGACAAATGGTTGTCCAATCTCTTCTTAAAAACTTCCAGTGTTGGAGCATCCACAACTTCTGGAAGTAAGTCATTCCACTGTCCAGAAATTTCTCCTTAGTTCTAGGTTGTTTCTCTTCTTGATTAGTTTCCATCCATTGCTTCTTTTCCTACCTTTAGATGCTTTGAGGAATAGGTTGACTCCTTCTTCTTTATGATAACTCCTTAGATATTGGAACACTGCTATCATGTCACTCTTAGTCCTTTTTTTCATTAAACTAGACAAACCCAATTCCAGTAACCATTTTTTATATCAGACATGTCAAACTCGCGACGTCATGTGACATCGTGCAATGTATCGGGACGGTTTTGCCATTGCCGGAAATGGGGTGGGCACGGCTTCCAGATGATGCGTCCGGCTTGTGGGCCGGCAGTTTGACACCCCTGCTTTATATGTTTTCACCTCCAATCCCGTAGTCATCTTTGCTGCTGTTCTCTATATTGTTTCTAGAGTCTCAACATCTTTTTTATATCATGTCAACCAAAACTGGATGCTGTATTAGAAGTGTGGCCTTACCAAGGCATTATAGAATAGTATTAACACTTCACGTGATCTTGATTCTATCCCTCTGACAATTCAGCCTAGCACTGTGTTTGCTTTTTTGGCAGCTGCAGCACCCTGCTGGCTCATATTTAAGTGATTATCCACTAGGACTCCAAGATCCCTCTCACAGTTGCTACTATTGAGCCAGGTACCACCGTCCTATACTATTCCTGTGTATTTGGGTTTTTTTTTTGCCTAAATGCAGAACCTTACTTTTTTCACCATTGAATTTCATGTTTTTATTGCTGTCGTTGCTGTAGGCTGCCTAAAAGGGTGACTGTGTATGCTTTCTAAATAAATACATAAATAAAGATGATTCCTATGCCATTAGTACAAGTTCAGAACGACTAGTGTATTGCCAAGTTTCATTATGCATGGCAGTAAACATTAAGAAAATGTTATAGGGAATGTTTGGCAAAGTTATGTGCTATTGCAAAGAGGTTATTACCAGTTGGGGAAAAGATTATAAAGAAAAGTTTGGAGTTTGGGAAACATTAAACATTAAGAAAATGTTATAGGGAATGTTTGGCAAAGTTATGTGCTATTGCAAAGAGGTTATTACCAGTTGGGGAAAAGATTATAAAGAAAAGTTTGGAGTTTGGGAAAAAGGCATCCTAAGGTCTACAGTAGTCCACGCAACTTAAAGTTGCCAAGTTTGAAAATCATTGGTCTGCATTGTTCCTTTCAGGTTCTAGTTCAAAAGCCTGTGATAATCATTTGCAGCACTGATGACTTCTACACAAAGATGGCTATTCAAGACTTCAGTTCTGATTTTATTTAATGATTTGAAGTAGCTAGAAGCCACTGTTTTCTAGTAAGAATTATTATTAAAACTATCTTCTCCTTTTTGGTTCTTACTTGTTTGGTCTTTTATACCACTTAGAACAAAATACTCTGGTATAATTTACTCTCTTTCCTAGTCATGATTGGGCTGCAATAGCTTTAATTGCTTTGATGGTGTTTATGTAAAGAAGCAAGATCGCTTTTGATCCCATACAGGAAGACTAAAAAAGCAGCTTTGCTAGTGATGTGCACTGTACTTGCCAAGAGATCAATCTACTAAAGGAACAAAGTTTCAGTCTTACCTCTAGTAGGTCCCCTTTTCTTACAGTGAGCTCTTGGGAATTCCGTGCATGGAAATCACATACGGCTTGCATGAGTTGGGGAGGATTGGAGGCACTGAAGAGGAAACAAAACTGCTCTTGAGAACAAAATTCTGGGAGATGAGCAGCCTGTTCTTCCTTCTTCCTTGTTTATGTAAAAGATTCCCTTGAAAAGGATTTGCTTCCTTGTTCTCTACATGGCCACATCCCTTGTGATGGAACGTCTACTAGATTCTACAAATGTGGGCCAAACACCTCAGCTGGGGTGGGCCTTTACAGGATTTGAGTAGCCTGACTTCCATTTCCCAAAGGCATCACACCTGGCAGCTGAGAATATTATGGAGCTCTTATGCCCCAAAACAGCTCTAGCAATAGGGTTCCGATAGACAGGACCCTATTTCTTCATTTATGCCAATTTCAGAGAAGTAATCATGTTAATTTGTTTTAGCAAAAACCACAACATGGCATGTTAAAGATGAACGCACTGCTAAGTATGTTGAAGAACACATCATTTCAGTACAATTCAAAAGTATTGTATCTTGTTCTGTTTTTGTGGTATTTTTGTATTTTGGTATTTTTGTTCTTAAATATTTTAAACAATTGTAAACCACCCAGAGTTGCTGGGAGCTGGGTAACATATATATTCAATTTATTATTATTGGTCATATAATCAGCCAGGTGCTTAGACATTTTGTCCACATCCCCAAAGACCTACAATAGAATAGGCAGGCGTTGTTTGATGGTGTTAAAGGTGTCACCACAACCTCCTTTTCCTTCTCTGAAAGCTGTGTCCAGAATACTTTTGTCAGAATTTTAACTACTCTCTAATTCTTAATTGTATTTATTCCATTCTAACCTGAGTAAGTCTGCATGGAATGCAATTTCTAAAGTAAATTTGGTGAATGGAAATTCTATCTATCTGCCATGTTCTATTGGAGTCAAAATAATTTCTATGTGGTCACATAGGTAAGTTTCATTCCCCAGGAATATTTCCTGTATATCCACTAAAAAGCCTGATAAGAGAACATACCCATCTGAAGAATAATTCTGGGTTCCATTTGCCTATAAGAAAATAATTCAGCTTACTTTAAGTGAAATTAATCATAAGTACACATTAAACAATGTTTTAATAAATGAATGGCTTCAAATGTATGCAAAGACAATAGTCGTGCTATTTGCTTACATGTTTAAACTACATAGGAATCCACTGTATTGGCAGTAGCAATAAAACTTTATCTGCTGGAGAATTGCATTGTTAGTAATGTATTTGTATGTGACAGCAGACTTTGCATTTTGATGGTATGGCAAGCTTTTTCTTTGCAATTGCTAATTGACCTACTGATTTGCAAATTATGGCAGCCTGGTTCTCTCCAAATACCTTTGCAGTTCAGCTCCCATAAGGCCTAGGCAGCAATATTTATTTATGCTGCATTCATGACTATCTTCTATCCCAAGATACTGGGAGTTGCAGTTCTTATCTGTAGGCACCATTTACAGAACAGCTGAATTGTAAAAATGGATAGAAATATAATGATTTTCTACATGAGTATTGCCATGAGAATTAACATTGCCCTTGAGCTATATATGAAACTGTAAAAAATTAGGCTATTTGAGATGACACTGTGCTGACTTTGTATAGAGCAGGCAAGATACTACTTTTGCTTCATAAGCTCATGGCCAGGCAGCTGCTCTCCATATCATGGCTCTCTCTTATACTGATTTTACTGATTTTACTTCTGCTCTGCCTGTGGTTGTCTGCCATTCACGAGTGACTCACCTGAGCCATATCATTAGGTCTCCAAGTAGACCTGGGAGGCATCCATCCATCTGAAAATGTGGGTATATAGGGAGGGAAGGATTGTCCCTTTGGAAATTCTTCCCTGTGAGTAGGAAGATAACTTATTGAGTAATAAAAATGTGGATCAAGGTACAATAGATCCAGATCACCAAAAGAGTTTCCTTCAGAATTTCTATTACAAATCCACTTGAATGACAGGGTTACTGAAAATTATACAGTGAACAAAATGCAGGGATAGCATGGATTAACAAGGATAATTTCAATGAAGAAGAATCCTGCTAGATTTGGCCAAAAGTTCATTTTGCTTTCTTTGGCATTGGCTCTGCATAATGTCAACGGAATGGCTCTGGCTATAGTGTGCTATGCAATGGCTGGCATTCTGGTTTGACTTAGTTTCTTATCACACTGAAGAAGCAAACTAATTGCAGAAGGCTTGACAACTCTTACCTAGTTTGATTCCAAGCAGTTCCCAAATTCTTCCAAATAATCTGCTCATCATAATTCAAGGAGCGCCTGAGCAAATTAATAGCTTCAGGGGTCAGCAATGGTAAAACTATTGTAGAGGCCAGATTCATCCTGGGACATCTGGACAAAATCTGAGAATGAGTGAGAATACATGTGATTCAGGGAATGCAACATGACCATGTGATCGAGTCTCCGAGGACAGAAAGGCTTGCAAGTGGAAGTCACAAGGTCTATTGTTGACTTTCTTATGGTCCAGGTTTTGATTCACTGAATGCTTCTAAAGAGAGATAAAGTTCTTATTGCTTAACACTCAAAAGACACAGTATACTGTAGCTATACTTTTTTCTGTATATTGGAATTGTGTTTAGGAAAAGATATTGTGTTTAGGAAAGAAAAAGATAAAAGAGTAAGAAATGCAATATGGTTAGAAATGGAGCATGAAGTTATCTGGATTATTTCTTGTATTCCGCGAATAAGGCAGAGTAATTGCCTAAGCCAGTGGTTCTTAACCTGGGCGATATCGCCCCCCAGGGGACGATTTTGTTTTTCAGGGGGGCGATGGAACGAAAAGGGGCGATGCGGGGGCGAAGGAACGAAAAGGGGGCGATATGGGGGCGATGGAGCGAGAAGTTTTGGGGACACTTTTGAGACTTTTTCATACAGTGAATCGCTATATATCTGTCGTACAAAAACATCAGATCGCTCGCTATTAGCGGATTGAATTGTGTTTTCAAATGTTCCTCCAGCTAGCTTCAATATAGAATGCCATACATATGTGAATATGCATCGCTTATCTTCATGTGCGTTGTGCAGCAGCCTCTACCCATACAGTGGCACGCCATTGGCCAGGATATGGGAGATATGGGAAAAAGACTGGAAATAAATTATTTGCATCAATATGTCCTGATGACAATTTTAAAGAAAACAAAAAAAGTGTTTGCATAAATTGGAGAATTATTTCCTATGTTGTAATTGAGAAGTTATGTTGGGGGAGGGGGGCGATGACAACTTCCTCATTGGCTCAAGGGGGCGATTCGTTCAAAAAGGTTAAGAACCACTGGCCTAAGCCACACCCTGCCTGGAACCATCTACACCCGCGGGCCAGATACGTCATGGCGAAACCAAGCCCATCCATTGCCGGCAATGGAAAAAAAGTCGCGATACGTCGCAACACGTCACGTGACGTTGCAAGTTTGACACCCCTGATCTACACAGACATGAGAAAAGTGATTTCCACTTGTGTCTTCTTTTGCCTTCAGAGATTTCTGATGTGTCAGGAAACTTCTTTCATAACAGCCTTTCATAACAGCTGTTTTGCATTTGTCGTCTGTAGAAAATGAGGTATAAACAATGCTGGGAAACATTCAGGACATTTGCATTTTGGTTCTGAATATTAGAAAATATGGTTGCTAAAGCATAAAGAACATCTATCCGAATTCTGGGGTGCCTAATTGATTTTTTTTAAAAAACCCTCTCTCTCTATGGTAACTACAGCCCAATATTATATGCACAAAGATGGAAAATCACAGAAATACCCACAATGGAGGAGTTGACTGTGAAGATGATATAACTTGCAGAAATGACAAAACTGAATTGTTTGATTAGTGACATAGGCAGTAACTATGTTTACAAAAGATTGAAAACCTTTTATAGACTTTTTGCTGACAATGGACAAAAATGAACATTTGATCTCTGGATCTCTTGATTAAAAAAGCTGAATATGGGAAGAAGGGAATTATATTATGCAATTCTAAAGGGGAAGAAGTAATAAAAATTGTTTGCAATTGCTGCAAAGAAGATTGGAAGCTGCTTCTTAATTTTTTTTCTTCGTTTATCTGTACTGTTTCTAGCACGTTCTTTTTTTCCTGCTTTCCTTTTACATATTTTTCTTGTTTATCTTTTAATGATGTAAAAACTTTCAATAAAAACTATATAAAAAATGCTCTCTATTTACAAATGAATCTTTAAAAAAAAAAAAAAAGACAATCACCAGAAACCTCTGGAATTTCTTGCCTGACAGCTGTACTCACACTTGTTAGAGTGGAGAAGATGAGGTTGGTCAATTCAGGAGCACTTGGCTGTTTAATGGTTTGGTCAAGCTTCCCCTGCAAAAAAAACCAAGCACAGTCCCATAATTATTATTTCTACAATTTTGAAAAACCAATCCACAGATTGAAGAAGGAGGGAAGTAAACCATTAACTAGATCACATCAGGTTATGGGGTTATTTTTCTGCTTCAAGATAATGTTGACTCCTGGCAATTGCCTAGACTACCTCTTGCAGTTTTCTTGGCAAAGGTTTGCCCTCACCTTCTTTCTTGGAGGAGGGGGGAGAAGAGAGAGACATTGAGAGATTGAGATTGTGAGAGAGAGAGAGAGAGAGAGAGAGAGAGAGAGAGAGAGAGAGAGAGAGAGAGAGAGAGAGAGAGAGAGAGAGAGAGAGCCCAGGTGATGGGTGAATTGATGATTAATTTATTTATGAATTCTAAGTCAGGGCTAGAATTCATGGTCTCCCATTTTTTAGTTTTAATGCCTTAATCACAACACCACTTAAGTAATATTCATTTTAGGTTAATTTAAACTAAGGATGGCACTAAATCGATTTTCCCAAACTTGATGCTTTCCAAATGGCTATACAGATTGGGAATTCTGGAAATCTTGATGCCAGCCATTAGGAAGATGCAAGAGTGGAGAAAGAAGTTGTGCTAGGTTTGATTAGATTCTGGGCATGGAACCGACAATGATCTGTCCTGGTGTTGGCAAAGAATTTGACCTTCTAATAATCGTATTGAACTTGCTTAGTTAGCTAATGTTTAGTTCCCTTCTCAAAGAAAAACATGTAGGGTGGATTAAGAATTAAACTGGGTGTGGGAAGCATATTCTGGATCGATACTTGGCTCTGGCCAGGACTCTGATTCTTATAAAAGAGAAACAGAGGCAGGACTTATCGTGGTCCTTGGCTGGAGAGTGTCCTAGTCACATATTGTGCTATGCCATCACATATTTTGGTTTAACACAGCATTTCTCAACATTTTTTTTCACCTGTACCCCTGTTTCAACCTTGTTTTCCTCCTGTAGTTCCCCTGTCCAAGTCCCATTATTGAACAGTAATTGATGCATTTTCTGGCATCTACAAGACAGTATTTGCAGTACACACACCTTGCTTTTCTATGGTCCCATCAGCACAAGCCGTGCCCCACACTACATGTTTTTTTCACCTATGACCACCTTAAAATATCCTAGGGTGCCCAGAGGACCACCGATCCTCGGTTGAGAACTGTTTAATAAACAATATGAACGTAATTTGTAAATCAGGGTTTCTTGTGTACTTGTTGTGTGATACATTTAACAAACCATCAATAAGCAAAACAAAATGGATTAGTATGATGTGCAACTCCAGCTAGTGAGTAATTACTGGGAACTTGGTCTCCTCTCCCCATCATCAACAACACAATTTCAATTATTAGTTGGGGTTGCAGCATCTGGGGGAAGGGATGTTGGATGCTGCTAGGGCCCAGGGAACCAAAAGAGGCTGTGAACGGCTTCTTTCCTTTTTCTAGTAAGGCCATCAGCAAAGAAAAATGAACTTCCCCTTCACTGGAAGAAAATGCCATTTTCAAGGGCTGTTCATCTTGGTCTCCATTCTTCAGCTCTTTTTCGTTCATTCCCCTTTTCTTTATGGGAACCGTTCAGGAAGACCGGTTAACATAAAGATTAGGCTTACACAACATGTCAACCCATAATTAACTGCATAATGGCTGTCAAATCAGTTTTATTTCTTGCCCAACATACTGAACCATTAATAAAACATTCCAGCTAGATCTGGACAACAAACTAAAATAATCTCAGCTTAGTCCAGTTTATGACACAGCTCTAGCTATGGTATTGTTACCAGTAATTTCTTTTCTCCTTCCATTTTTTTTTAGTAATAGAAACTTAATACTGTATACATGAGCAAAGAAAGGGGAAATCTTAACCCTCTCCCTTCTGTTCATTTCTCGAGACCTGCATCCAGCCATTTTAGCTGTCTATGAGAAAAAAAGCAAACAGGTAGAATGAGATAATTCAGATGTGAACAATCAAAACTGGAAAGAATTTTGGTGCCCCAACCTTGTGGAAAGACACAGCAATGGTATTTATGAAATAAAGAAATTGGAGGAAATAACAGGAGATAAAGGTCATGTCACATTTAGGGTCTTAAAATCAAATTACAGGAGATAAAAAAATATTAGAAAATTAATTTAGTGAGTGACTTTTTGCAATAGATACCAGCAAAGGAATTGATCTGTTTATGGATCATAGGAAAGGGTGAAGATAATGTTTAGGGGCCTTTACTAATCCAGATTGTTCAAGTTGTTTTCACTGGGGAATAATTCCAGTGGTGCATGCTGGGAGATTGGGAAAAGGGTCTGTTCCAAATTACACAGAGTATCAGTCTGGACTACTTTCCCCAATCCTGTTTATCAGGTCTATTTGCAATCATAGCTTTCTGATAAAGCATAGCCTTTATTTGGCCTTCCAATAAAGCCAGATCTGTATCATTTGTGCATCATGCTTGAAAGCATAAATGTGCCTAGAATTTTAATTGCGATTTAATTGAGACTTTCTTTGGGAAACATTTTTCATCTGAAAAACTGGATTAAATATCAACAAGCACATACAGTACACTTAGATACTCCACACAATTACGTCTGGTGAATATATAGGTACATTTATAATCTTTCTCTAGTTTCCTAATTTCTTATCTGACTACCATGATTTTTCAATTAGTTAAAATATTCCTAAATTAATTCAACAGTGGCAATAAACAGCTACAACTAAACAGAATGGAGCTCTTTGTGCTGCTGCCCCAGATATTTTGTGCTGTGGAATTCCTGAAGAGGAGTTCTTTTCGTAAGAAATGTAGCCAACTATATTGGCAATAGAGAAATTTCTGCCAAGGTCAAACAAGTTGCAAACCTACCAGCAAATTGAAACTGTACTTGACCTTCTGGAAGCATTCTCCAAACTCAGATTCTGAGGGCACTGCTGCTGAACCAGAGAGAAACGTTAGCAAACTAATCCAGGAAATAAAAGAAAATAAGGCTATAGACAGGTATCTCCACATGCAGGAAATTCAGGTCTGATAGAGGGGGGGGGGGAACAAACACATTTGCAATCCAATTAAGTCAAAATAATCAAAACATAATGTTAAATAAACTAATTTTATTCCAACTTTCTTACTTAGTTAAAAAGCAGTCTAAATTCGAAGATTTGCTATGGATGAGTTCAGTGTAATATATAAAGCACACTTTTTATACACAAGAAAATTATATGAAACCCTATTTGATAAGATATACCATTGCAGCATTCAGAGAAACAAAGCCATCGGATTTAAATTGTATGGATCTAGACACTATGTTATAATCTGGATATTTTGTGTGGACTTTTCAATAAAAAAAATGAACTTCTGTTTATGGTTTTGATAATTAGATAGGATATATTATTAAAAAAAGAGTCAGGATATATCCTCAGAGGGAGAGAGAGAGAGAAGGAGAGGTCTGTTTATAATTGTACTTATAACTGCTGTAAAAATATTGGAAGCCTTTTTTTATATATTTTTTCCTTCCTTTTCTATTTTTCTGTTACAGTTTTCTTTAGTTTCCCCCCACTCTTTTGCTTTATTTCAGTTTGTTAGTCTTATTCTTGTGTTTAAAAATTTCAATACAATTGTTTAAAATTTTCAATAAAATTATATAGTAAATTGTATGGATCTAGAACACAGTCAGTATTCAGATATGGAATTGATGATCTAAAAAAATAGAACTTATCATTAAAGTGTGTCTCCATAACAGAGGATTGATGCACAGTCAATAGAACACCAATGTCTTATAAGTGAACTAGGAAATCTTAAGTGATGATGGGATACAAAAATGTGATCACAGATTATATAATAATATTCAGGAAATTGAAAAGCCAAATGGGCTGTATATAACTCCAAAAGGATATCTCAAAAATAGAGAGAACTGATGATAATAGGGCAAATGAATTACACTCTAGAACACACATCTATGTTGGCTCTTAAGTTAAACCTTCTCTAGTGTGAGATGACTAGGATTTACCAGGCAAAAGAGTTTGAGATTATGGTAAGAAAATCAAAGCCACGAATGAATGAATGAATGAGGCAAAATCTATAATTAAGGAAGGAACCCAATTTCCAGGATTGTAGTGTCCTAGGAATTAGGTAATTCAGTAAAAATGATTGGCAGTAGAATTGTTCCTGACTAAATGCATATCCTATTCAAAAGTCCACTACCCAATATGAAGTTTGGAATAAAGAGTTTTTAGCATATTTCATACTGCTTGTTCCTTTATATCATTTCTCTCTTGTTCAGAATACTCTGAAAAGAGACTGTTTCTTAGAACTGTGCAAAGCTTCAATTCAGAGACTTGAGTCAAAGATAGTTTGGATCAGAATACGTTTATCCCCCCTCCCCCTTCTATTTTCCAGGAGACCATGGAAATTTAGAAATTTACAATTGCCTACTTGCCGCTGCTTTGGCAGTCTTACCTTGATTCCTATCACTTTCTTTTTTCTTTTTCTTTTTCTTCTTGTCACTCATGGGGGTGTTCTTTTGTACTTTTCTTGCAAAGGATTCTATATCATCTAGAACATGGTTCAGGATCTCCTGTTCGCAACAGAGGAACAAAAACCCAATTCAAATACTGTATTATTGAAAGCTTTTGGGGGGAAACCACTAACAGTGTACATTTTTCCTGCCATTCAGAGATTTAGCACTGAGATTATGCTTTCAACTTGGTGATGGTTTAATTTAATTCACTTGGTTCCTTGCCCAGATATGGGGAAAAACACTCATAAAGAAGCAAAATTAATTAGCTGTACAGAGGCATTTTCTATCATTTAAATGTTATTGATCTCCAGATCAAAGAATCTCTTATTCTGGCTTGTAATCCTGGCTTCTAGCTAAACATCTTCTTAGATCTTTAGTATCTTTCCAGACAATTTCTAGAAACTCTCGTCACACTTTCTTAGAAGTGATGCTTCATGATTACAATCTCTGTTCATCAAAACAATTAAATTCAGACTTTGTACCAACCACAATAGTCCTTTACTCAAACAGGAGATTTCTAGTTGGGTTTGGACTAAAATTCACATACTCTCCAGACAATATGATTAACCTAAGGAGTTGGGGAGTTCTAATCCCAAATAAATTGGGAGATATATTCTACAACCCAGTTTTCCAAACTATGCAGTTTTTTTGCCCTGCCTGTTTCGATAACAACATCCTGCTCTCCAGTTGCTACCCTCTAGATAGAGAAATACGTTTTAGTGTGGGGCCAGCAGAGAGATGGTATCCAAGAAAGAACGTACTTACAATTTCTATATATTTCTCATGCATCGGGGAGAGTTCTTGATGTGTTTCATACTTCTGCTGCCAGTCAAATTGCTGTTCACCTTCTACAATGTTCAATAATCAGAATAAATAATGCCCCAGCTAGCTGACTTCCCATTTCAATTCCTTGCCCCAAATGTGTGTACCCCAGTTGCTTCTAAAGATACCAAGGGTGAAAGAGATAGCTGTTATCACATAATGAATGGCTATCACTTAACACTGAATGCCTTATAATGGAAGCAGTGAAAATTCATTTCTAGCTACTGCTACGGTACTAAATCTTGGCTTTTAGATCCTAGGCTAAATCTAGAAGAATACCCAAATTGCAATCTTGAATGTTTTTTTATCTAAATTTCCATTTCCTGATTTGGCTTTTGACTGAATAGAAGCATCTCTTTCTGAATTAAGCTTGAATTTCTTTGTCCTTATCTTACCCATCACTGACAATGGATTTCAACAGCTTCCCTGATTTTTTTTTAAAGGACATATATTACATATTACTGGAGGCGATCAATTTACTGGTGACACTAAATCTGATCTTTCCAGAACATTTATCCCAATAATTTCATGCATATATTGAAAAGCAGTGGAAGATAAGATAGAATATTGAGGAAAACTACAAGCAAATGGCCTATTGTTGAGCAATAGGCCTTGAAGCACTAGACTACGGGTCTACTGTATTCACCATTCAGAGCATCCAAAATTGGAAACAGTCCAAGAACAATTCAAGCCTATTATACACAATATCTACCCCATGTAAATAATCTAATTCTCTCCTTTGGTCATATTTCCATGTGCTGTAAATTATGACAATAGACCCTCCCTCCCTCCATCTTTTTCCTTTATTTAGCATGCATGTCTTCCATTAGCAGGCAACATTCCAGCAAAAAGCAATTATATAGTTACCACTGAATTCTGTGTAGCGTGGTTCCATGTCCCAAGGAGAATCCTGAGGAATTTGTTTGGTGTTGCCTTTCTGAGATGCTCTGCCCTGCTGATTCAACATGTTCTCCAAGTTCAACCTAAATTATAATAATAAACTTACATCATCATCATGATCATGTCTTGAGGTAACCAATAAAGCATTTGCAATAGAAAGTTAATATTGAAGATGCCCAACTCTTCTGTTACCTGAGCATATCATTTGTCTGACGTTCAGTTTTCCATTCCTCAATAGCTTTCTGAATTTTCACTTTCAACAAGTCAGCCTAAAAGAAAGAAGAAGCAATTTTCAGGTCTCTCTGGATTCAGACCTGCTTTAAACTGCAATGGCTACTGTTATTGTCTGATACAAATTGTTCTCTGTCACTATTACTATAAAAAAGATGTTGAGACTCTAGAAAGAGTACAGAGAAGAGCAACAAAGATGATTAGGGGACTGGAGGTTAAAATACATAAAGAACGGTTGCTCAAATTGGATATGTCTAGTTTAATGAAAAGAAGGACTAGGGGTGACATGATAATAGTGTTCCAATATCTCAGGGGCTGCCACAAAGAAAAGGTGGTCAACCTATTCTCCAAAGCACCTGAAGGCAGGACAAGAAGCAATGGATGGAAACTAATCAAGAAGAGAAACAACCTAGAACTAAGGAGAAATTTCCTGACAGTTAGAACAATTAACCAATGGAGCAACTTGCTTCCAGAAGTTGTGGGTGCTCCAACACTGGAAGTTTTTAAGAAGAGGTTGGACAACCATTTGTCTGAATGGTTTCCTATACCATTTCTTTCACAGAAATGAGCAGGGGGTTGGACTAGAAGACTCCCAAGATCCTTTCCAACTCTGTTATTCTGTACTATCCTCTGGCAACAGAAGCACTGCAGAACGTTTCCTTTGGCTAACCTTTTGATAATTATGCAGGATGTACTACTCATACCTGAGCAAATTATTTCCCACTCCTATAAGATAATAAGGAGCTAATTTTGTTTTGCTATCACCTTATGTTAAACACTAGGAAGAGAGTATGCGTTAGGACTTGGACTATGGAAGCTTCCTCACACGTTTATTAAAATCTGACAATCAGTGTCTTGCTGCCAGCGGGGAACAATTTCCTAACTCTCCTAGTGCCATAGATCCAAATGAGGTTTGCTAGGACTGCTATTTTTTTAAGCAAAGGTATCAATTCCATATATATAGCATGTGATTATGGATTTCAGAGGAACCTGTAGTTTGTCTTTAGGCCGGAGGTCCCCAACCTTTTGGGCACCAGGGACCAGTTCCATGGAGAGAAAGTGGTTTTGTGAGTGGTTTTGTGTGCTGCCTGCATCTCGCGGATGGGAGTTTGCTTGTTTGTGTGGACCAGTTGCTGGGCCCCTGCTCTAGGCCACTTTCAAATCTGTCCCCTCCAAATTAAGGACATGCTGTAATTACCCCAATCTGCTCGGATTGAAAGAGCAAGATATTAGTTTTCTGCCGGTTCAGATCTTTCACAGAAATGCCCAAGATGGAGTTGTAAATACAACAGTTAAGGATGGAGACACATTCTTGGATATCTTCCAAGGAATAGCAGTCCAGCTCTTCCTGTAGGCAAAAACAAACAAACACACAGGATGTAGTAGAAAGAACCCTGCTGCCCCATTCCTGGTCTGAAGAAAAGAACACAACTTTCTATGCCAGCAATCCATGAGGAACATAAGCAGACAGTAGTTCCTTGACATTCCTTGGCATTTTAAATGTCTTATTTAATAGCAGTATCATGGCCACTGTTCAGATATTTAGCCTTAGATGTCCCAGGTATCCATCCCAGCTTGTAAGAAAATATGGCAATGCAAATTGGGTGTGAAATAAAGTATACAGAAGCTTTGTTTACCTCAGCTTCTATGTCCGTCAGCAACAATTTGTTCTCCTTGATCTGCAAAAGCATGTCTTGGCCCCACACTTGGCTTTGGGCATCCATCATCTTGAGTCGCTCAATACAATTCTCTACATTGTTGATTTCTTTGCCATCAATAGTACAAGTCAAAAGATGCTGTGGATCAAATATGGACTTTGGTTCTTTAGTGCATAATCTGAGTGTATATGGTAACTGTTATGAAAGGATCAGTCCATAAGAGACACTAGGAAGTACTGTAAGGAAGGACCATCTGTGCCGCATATATAGCATATGCTATTAACTTTAATTGATTCAGTATATTAAACAGCAAATCTTTCAAATGATTAATTTATGGTGGGAATTTTGTTCAACAGATGCAAAGTATAATTCATTAAACTAGGTACACAATCATTAATTACATAACGGTTTAATATTTAAAAGTAATTTAGAATTGTTATGTTACTGTAAGAAAGAATGGAAAAACATTAAACATTAAAGGTAGGTAGGGAAATTAATATTCCATCTACAGGAAAACACTTCTAAATTTATCTGATTAAAATTCAGGTAATCAATCAGTTAAATATTAATCACTGAAAGGAGATAAACTTCTAATGCTGAAATTCAAAATAACTTCCTGTCAGAAGAAAAGGCCCCAGTCTCTTGCAGATATTCAGACCAATGTGTACCAGGAGAAGTGAGTTCCCACCTGTGGCTGCAACATGCTTAACCAGGCTAATTACACATGGCTGCATTCATCCAACATGAAGCTCAGATGGGGTGTGAGGTGTAGGGTTGAATAGCATGATTTGAAAACCAAGACTGTCTGATTGGTTTGGGCTTCAGTATATTATTCAAACAAAATGAACTAGTTCAGTCATAAATTAATCATATTGTGTGAATACAGCCAATAATAGAGTTTGCCCTAATTTATCTTCATTCATCTGGATGTGTGAAGGCAACCTCTGAGTGTACAGGTAGTCCTCCACTTACAACTATTTGTTTAGTGACTAAAGTTGTGATAGCACTCAAAAAAGTGACTCACAACCAGTTTTCACCCTCATGATCATTGCAACTTCCCAACATGATCAAAATTTGGTTGCTTGGCAGCCACCATGTATTTACAAAAATTGCAGTATCCTGGCATCATATGATCACCATTTACAACATTTCCAACACGCAACGTCAATGGGGAAAGATGGATTCACTTAACAACCGCATGATTTACTTAAGGCCATTGCGATTTGCTTAATGACTATGGCAAAAAAGGTAATAAAATAGGACCCAACTGGCTTAACCACTGCGTCATTTAGCAACAGAAGTTTCTGTCTCAGTTGTGGTTGTAAATTGAAGGCTACCTGTACAATGAAGGCTGTAAATTTACTAATTTATGAATGAATGGTAAATTGAAAATGTGTAAGTGAAGGATGTTATTTAATGCTGAGTTTCTGTTCTTCCCCATTCTGTAAAATCTTTTAAGCGGTTAGGACCAGAGAACTGGTAAAGAAAAAGTCACGGGAAGCACAGGATTATGGAATCCGACAAAATCTTGTCAAGCATCATGTTTAAGTCTACGTGCAATGCAGGAAGCTCAGAATCAATGGCCAGGTAATCTCTTCTTCAAGAAGATCAGCACAAAGGGACCCAAAGTTCTTTCATCAAAGCAATGGGTGAGGCTTATGTAGAGTCTAACAGATAAATGCATCTATCTTCTGCAACTGAGCAGAATGGTAGGGAACTTTCTGTGCTTCCAAAGGTTTTTCCTACCTCCACCCGATGCCGGACATCATGCTCAGCCGTTATTATAGCTCTGCTGTACTCTTTCCTCTGACCTGTGAGGGGGGGGAAAGGCAGAATTCAACTCTAATTTTTGCTTTAAGTATTCATTAGGATGGCAATCAGATCGTAGTTTGTAGTGGGTGCCACACAAATGATAACCCAAAACCTCAGAGAAAGTTTATGTCCTGGAGGGCAGGGGCAGGCAGGGTTTGGTTCTACTTGTCTTGGCTTGTCCAGGACTGCTTTACGTGCCAATTAGATGGAATTAATAAGAAGAGGGGGTTGTTTCTTTTTACATCAGAGAAAATAACAGAAGGAAGTGGGGACGCCTGCATTCTCTAAAGTAGTTTATGCATAAGGATCAGCTGATATTCCTCTCTCCAATGCAGAGTAAGAAAGTACATGGCATAGGGCAGGGGTGTCAAACTGCTGGCCCATGGCAAAACTGCGCCCACCCCATTGCCGGCAATGGAAAAAAAGTCACAATACACCGCGATACGTCATGTGACGTTGCAAGTTTGACACCCCTGGCATAGGGCCTGGTTAGCTGAGGGACCACCTATTTCTCATACTATTTTCCTGGCTGCTCTGATTTGGCTAGGTTGGCAAGCTTTGGGTACCTTTGATTAAACAGTGCCATCTATTGGGACCTCAGAAGCACAGCTTCTCTGTTGCAGCACTTGCCCTATAGAATGAGGCTCCCCCAAGAGATTCAAATGTCCCCACCACCACTATCCTGGTGCTTCAAAGGCCTCTTTTCCCAGACCTTTGGCAAGGAGGTTTGGCATCTCTTTTCTTCCATTTTTTTTGTCCCTGTTTGGGTTTGCTTTCTCTTTTTCTTCCTCTTGGTTTTGTGTTATTTTTGTGCTCTTCCCTTATTTTTAAATGTTTTCAACAATTTATAAACCATCCAGAGTCAGATTTGGTAGATAGGCAGCATATAAATAATAATAAATGCCTAGGCAAGTCATTAGATACACAGCTGGAATAGTAGACTGGACTCAAGCAGAACTAAAAGTCCCGGATAGCAACATCAGAAAAATGACAATGTATTGGGCCCTTCATTCATGTAGCAACGTTGTCAGATTTTATTTACCAAGGAACAGAAGTGGGCATGGAGTGTTGCAAGTATATCAGATGGCTGAAGAAGTAAGAAGAGCTTTGGAAGAATAACTGATATGACAGTGAAGAAGATGCACTGGAGTTAGCATACAATGAAGGCTTACTGAGTACTGGAGAGATCAAACTACCCTACAAGAAAGACCAAATGAAGAATAGAAAAGAGCCATGGCAAGTCAAAGTATTATTAAAAATAGGAGACAAAACAGATAAGAAGACCTGGCAATGGATAAAAGCAGGAAAGTTGAAGAAAGAGACAGAGGAATTAATTCTGGTTGCTCAAGACCAAGCCTTAAGAACATACACATATAAAGGCAGAATTGAGAAGACAGAAGACAACCTCGGCAAAAAAAGTTGAAGAAACAGTGGACCACCTGCAAGAAGATCGCACAGACTGACTGCAAACAATGGCATGACCAAGTAGCAACAATATTGCATTGGAATATCTGCGAGAAATACCATTTGCTTGCAAGCAAGAACTGGTGGGACCACAAAATAGATAAAGCAGTACAAAATGAAGAAGCCAAAGTGTTCTGGAACTTTAGAATTCAAGCAAACAAGCACCTGCCACATAACACTCCAAACTTAGATACGTTGGGTGCAGTTCCAAAACATCTGGGGCAAGACATGAACACCATCAGCACTGACAAATCACCCTTAGTCAATTGCAAAAGGCAGCTTTACTTGGGATAGCTTACATCCTAAATACTTTTAATACATCAAACAACATCTGCATATCCCAGGTCCTAGGGAAGGACTTGATAGGTGGATAAAAATACCAAATCCAGTCTAAACATCTAGTTGACAATATGACCACCACCACCACCACCACCACCACCACCACCACCACCACCACCACCACCATCATCATCATCATCATCATCATCATCATCATCATCATCATCATCATCATCATGTTCCCTCTAGGCTATTTCTTGGCATAAATACATAAATACTTGTACTCCTAAACAAGAAAGTAGACAAGGTGCAGATGATAGCTAAAACTTCATTTTAGACCCCTAGGATGATTCCATCTGAATGATCTGGAAAGAGGAGAGCAGGCTATCCTTACGGTAAATGGCTTTGCCACTTGGCCTGGACAAGCTATTGGCTCTGCCGAAATGAGTTTCAGGGTCACTGTGGAGAAAAGAAAACAAGGCACATGGATTTAATTGTTTTAAAAGGTCTGCTATATACTCCCTTATATCTCAGTTATCCCCCCACTCCTTGCTCTGAATCAAGACTTTTAGTAAATTCCAATAATAAAAAATTGTGATTCTGAACAAAATGAAATGATCTGCTCTTGACATGTGAGCTAAATCTCACTTAAAAATGTCTGTAATCAACAGCATCCAAATCTTTTTGATAAAGACTTTCTAGAATCTGTGTCTAGAGAATAGTTTGTTGTGGCAAATTCTCATTAAGATTGAAATATATAGACTTACTTGCAGTAAGCACCATACCTATGGCTGAAGCGATCTTCCATTCTGAATTCAGATCCTACAAATTATATATATGCCTATTAAAATGCTTGCCAGTCGTGTTCGCCAGCAGAGTTTCTAGCAGAGATGAATAGCCATATAAATTGGATTAATAAATAAATAAATAGTGTTCAAGATCTGCATTTTAGCAAACATTTCTGCTATTGTGATTGAAGCATTATATTTCTTCTCAACATTCTAAATAGTCAGACCGTAACCCAAATTTAATCATAACTGTAGAGAATAGCACTTTTGCAATGGGTCTGGCAGCACAGTCAAATCATCTGACCTAGCCCTGGTCATTAATCTGACTGGTAGAAGGTCCCACACTTTGATGTTCCCAAACCTTCGGGCATACGGCCTAGATTTTAACTGGAGATGCCAGAGATAGATTCCAGGACCTCCTGTATGCAAAACCTGTTATTCCTACCAAGCTAAAAATCACAAGATAGTCATTCCCTTTGATAGGCAAAAAAACAAAAAAACAAACACCAAGGAATTTGTTTTGTATGCAGGTAATTTTAAAGCCTTCTTCATTGCATTTTCTACTAACACCAGCACATCTCTTTCCATGGCCATCAATGTTATTATGTCGTTCTACCTGAGATCTTCCACCCTTCTTAAATTATTGTAAATAATAAAATTATTGTAAGATAAAGATACCCTCCGGTTGACTAGTTGGCTTTCTTCTCTGTGTTCTGTATAGCCTTCTGTCAGGATTTTTTTAAAATGCTTTTTAAAAACTTTGGCAAATTTCCTAATCTGGCCAATCGAAGTGGAATTCCCAGGTGATCTCCCTTCCAGTTACTAATCTAGGCTACCTGGCTGAGCTAATTAAGACTAGCCAAGATCCATTAAAGGTTATTGAAAAGATCAACATTCTTTGGCTCTACTTATGAACAAGTGAACTTGAGAAAGTGCTATTATTCTATCCACAAGAGGGGAGGGGAATAGGATTTAGTAAAGTAGCTTACCTTCTGAATTGTTGTGGTAACAGGTGGTCTGATAGAACAAAGCAGGATTTCCCTTTGCTGAACACGGAATCAGGAAAAAGACCACAGAAAGAGTTGTGTCTATGCCTAGAACATGGTTTCAAGTTCAGACTTTGCCCCTCTGTCCAAAGGAGCATTAATACACAGAATAAAAGGAAGTATTCCGAGAGTGACAGGGCAAATAAGAGGCATTAAAGTTTCGGTGTTGCCTGACGCAGAAGCCACACCTCTGCCCTTTGGTCTCTTCTCTGCACAGATAAATCGTCCATCTCCTTGTGTGCTGATCCTACCCCAGCTACTGGAGAGTGGCACAGCCCTTGTTCACAGAACTGGCACTTGTTTGTGCCAGTGGGCACTGCTGTTTTTATATAGTTTTATTGAAAAAAATTAAAAAGATTAAAAACTAAAACAAACTGACACAAAGTTAAGAAAAAGAAAATAAAAAAACAAAACAAAGAGAAAGCTAAAAGGGAAAGAAAGGGGAAAAAAGTACAGGAAAAATAGGAAAGAAAGAAAAAGACACAAAGAAGTAGCTTCCAATCTTGTTTACAGCATTTATAAGTACAATTATAAATTTCCTCTTGTACTCTACGATTATCACGTACTCTTTTCTTTCTATAATCCATCCTGTTTAATCATCAGAACCATAAATCATAACTGCATTTTTTTTCTGATTCGTGCAAAAAGTCTATAAGGGTTTTCCCATCAGCAATAAACATAAGTATTGTTTTGTCTCTGATCAAAGAGGTCGATTTAGCCATTTCAGCAAGTTCCATCCTTTTCACCAACCGTTCCTCCATTGAGGGTAATTTCCCTTTTTTGTGCATAAAACAATCTTGCTACAATGGGCACTGTTCTTCAGGCAGTGGGGTTTAAGTCCTCATGTTAAGTCGGGTTGTCGGGATAAAATGCTGTTCAATTGAATTTAATAATAATAATAATAATAATAATAATAATAATAATAATAATAATAATAATAATAATAATAATAATAATAATAATAATAATAGTAAAGTTGGAAGGGACCTTGAAGGTCATCTAGTCCAACCCCCTGCTCAGGCAGGAAACCCTATACCATTTCGGACAAATGGCTGTCTAGTCTCTTCTTAAAAACTTCCAGTGTTG